GGGAACATCAGGGGAAAATCAGGGGGTATCTGGGAACATCAGGGGAACATCAGGGAACATCAGGGGGCATCTGGGAACATTAGGGAACATCAGGTGAACATCAGGGAACATCAGGGGAAAATCAGGGGGTATCTGGGAACATCAGGGGAACATCAGGGGGTATCTGGGAACATCAGGGGAACATCAGGTGAACATCAGGGGGCATCTGGGAACATCAGGGGAAAATCAGGGGGTATCTGGGAACATCAGGGGAACATCAGGGAACATCGGGGGACATCAAGGGAACATCAGGGAACATTGGGGGCATCTGGGAACGTCAGGATCATTTGGGCACATCCGCTTTAACTCCGCTCCGCTTTTAAATCTGCGCTTGGGTTAAATGTCTTCCTTCACAAGGACATGCCAAGTGTGTCTCCTCTGAATTCAGGTCAAAATGGCGTCCTAACTCTGTCTCTGTCATCCATCAGGGAACAAGTACTTCAGCTGCAGCGGTCACAGGAAGCACTACCTCAGCCTGGACCACCGTCGACCCTGCTGTCACCAACAAAGATGCCAACGGCGCCAGCAACAACAATGGCAATGGCAAGGGCAAGCCCAGCATCAGCACCATCAGCACCACCAACTCCACCGACACCAACTCCACGGACACAAGCGGCGGCACCAACAGCACTAGCAGTGGGAGCAGTGGGGGTGGGAGCAGTGGGGGTGGGGGCAGTGGGAGCAGTGGGAGTGGGAGCAGTGGGAGCAGTGGGAGCGGCACCACAACCCAACCACAGAAGGGAAACTCAGCAGGTGGAGGCTGCAGCTTCTCCTCCATTGGGCTGTTGCTCTGCTCCATCATGGTCCAGCTCACCTGGAGCTGCTAGGCTAATTGTATAGGTAGGGCTGGACGATAACGCTGAAAAATGTATCATGATAGAAGCATTTCCTATTAGTCAATATCAATGAATATGGATTTTTTAAAAATATCTAAAATATTCCCAAACTGGTGGCGTGATCTTTCCTGTTTTATCCAGTTTTCACTGAACGCCGTTAGTTTTTATTTTTCAGCAGTTATGAGGAACGGTGACAAAACCTGAAACTGCTACTGCGCAAGTTAATCAACAGGTTGTTGGTAGGCAACCGAGGTGGAGGGGAATTTGAAAATGCTTCTTATGCAGCAGGTTGTTGCTAGGTAACCAAAGAGTGAGGGAATCAGTAGATGCCACCAACCTAGCTAAGCTAGCTGTGAGAGGTTGAGCGGCTAAGTTGTTTCCTCTGCCTACATCTCCCAGAATGCTGTGCGGACTTCAGTGAAATGATTGAATATTAGATCAGATGTTACATATATTGATATTGATGACGTGTCTATCGTGTTATATGAGGTTATTGATTTATTGCCCAGCCCTGTGTTTAGGACAGATTAAGGCTAGTCAGCAGTAGGTCAGAGCTTCTGTCCACCTGAGATCTCAAGTACGCAGCAGCAGAAGGTGGAGTTCCTCCAGTCGCCTCTATCACCCGCTGCTGTTTAATTCTGTAGTTTCCTTTGATTAAAATCATATTTAACTAATGAAACTACAACTTGTTAAACAAGTCACATGGTAGCGGTTAGTGTTGAGTTGTAAGCCTGTTATCTATAAACTCTCAGTAAATATGTGAAATTAAGCTGATCACTCATAGAAAATGTTTTCTGTAATGTGTGAAATCTATATTTATGACATGGATACAATATTTTAAGGTAAAGGTAGAATAAATAACAATAAAAAAGAAGAAATCATTGCTTGCTGTTGATTCTGTACCTAAATGTGCTGTTATGTGACAAAGACTAATGAGAAACACTAAGTTCCTACAGCACCTGAACACAACATGAACTATTCCTGTCCTCCGCATCATCATCACATCATTCATGGTTCTGAACATTAATTACATGTTTTAATTAATGTTTAACGCAAACATTAATTAAAACATCAGAGGTCAGCTGGACTGACCCGTCAGCTATACGGGGAAAAACCTGCTTGTTGTTTCAATCAGAGGGACAGCGACCCCTGGTGGCTATCGCTTGCAAAGATATACAGTCACAAAATAACAATCATTTGGGTTATTCAGTCTTTCATTAAAGCAAAATAAACAAATAAGTGGAAGTTCATATGCCATCATATTCATTCATTAATAAATCACAGTTTCAAAATAAAAGTTTAGTGCACTAAATATTTAGCTAGAATGCTAAATATTTGGCCTTATGCTAAATGTTAAGCTTGCTAACTATATATTTAACCTTGAGCTAAATTTTTATCTTCAAACTAAATATTTAACTCGGTAAATATATATTTAGCTTGGAGCTAAATATTTAGTTTCAAACGCTTGAAAACGTAATAATTATTTAGTAAGCTACATATTATCTTCAAATAAACGCTTAAGTTGCTAACTAAATAGTTAGCTCGCTAATATAATATTTATCTTAAAATTAAATATGTAGCCTGGTAAGTATATATTTAGTTTATAGCTAAATATTTAGTCTCAAGCTACATATTTAGCTTCAAATATTTAATAAAGTTAAATATGTAGCACCAAACTATTTATTTAGCTTGCTATTTAAATATTTAAATAGCAACATATTTAGCTAGACTGCTAAATATTTAGCTATATTACAGATGGACTAATAGGGAAACAGGGGAGCTTAAAGTTACCTGCTGGCGCTCTGATCCGGGTCCTTCAACCCGAACGCTGGAGGTGATTGCTGTCTGATTCGGTCCAAACTTGTCCAAACCGGAACCGGTCAACCAAGAACCATGAAAGGGCTGCATACCATTTAGGTTATATACCCATCAGCATAGACATAATATAAGAATATATTATGTCTATGGCTCTCAGTCCTGTTTAGTCCGCTTTAACTCCAGTCCGTCTGCCTACAAGGTTCTGTACAACAGTTTCAAACTGACATTTATCATTTATAAATTAATGAATAACATTGTGAAAATATGACTTTGAAACATGAACCCAATTTTTTTTTCTTTTTTGACAAGTTAAATAACTCGATTAATTTTTGACTAACTTTACAAACAGTGCCCAAACTGCCAGAGAGTGAAAACAATAAATCATTCAGAGACCCTATTACATTTCATTATAACTAATGACTTTTTAAATTTATTATATAGTTTTTGTAACTTAAACACAATTAAAGATCAAAATGTTGTTTTTTTTTATCTGAGCTACAAGTCAGATTAGCAGTGAATGCAAATCTCTCCATATTTCTCATGTTGCATCATTTTATCAGTAAATGCCACATTTGTTCCGTGGTTTGGTTATTTTATCTAAAGTGCTACAACTTGTATTATTTATTGAATGTATTAATCTCTGAATGTGTTGGTAGATTATGAGTTATTTCTAACCATCAGTTTTCTGTCGGTGAATTTAGTTGACCTTTGACCTGCAACAGGAACAGTTCTATTTTCTGAAAAAGGGGAATTTTTCTTCTGCAGTGAAGTTAAATATTGAAGAAGTGAGCAGAGAGTTTGTGAAAATCTGAGCAAACATTTAACTGGCGTGATAGCAGGAAGCAGCAGGACCTGCTGAGACCCACCATGAACCAGCTGCTGAGGTAAACACAGATTCTGCCCCATCAGGTAGGGGCGGGGCCACCTGGACAGGTGAGCAGCCGACGGTGACAGGATGCATCACTTTCTTCCAATAACTTTAAACGATCCGGACTGTTCAGAGATCTGTGGGACCGCTGTCGCCCCCTGCTGGCAGAGCTACAACACTGACAGGAGGTTGAGTCTCTGGCCCATTTTCCTTCTGCAGCTCCAGTTATCAGTCCAATTCACTCCTGTTAGCATAATATTTCAATTAAGAAGAGAAATCACAGCAACAGCTGGTCATGAACAAGCATGTGGCGATAGTGGGAAGGACCAGACCTCCAGTGGAAACAGGACACAGAACCTCATTCTGGGTTTCATGAGGAATAATAATAATATTTATGAAACTGAGGAGTGACTTCCTAGAGACTCTGAATGGATGTTGAATAGAACATAAATCTCTGAGCTTATTCTGGTGGTTCTGGTGGTACCAGATGATACCAGAACCACCAAGCTGGGATTCAGAACCAACACATCAATCATGGGGTCTCTGACCTTCATTCAAAACGGATCAACTGATAATAATAATCAGTGATAATCACGGTTCTGGTAGTTTCTGGTTCTGTCATATTTGCTGATTTTTGGTCCTGAAAACTTCCCTTCAGCTGAACCTCAGCACCGGCCCATATTCTACAGAACCGGACATTTGTTCTGTGTGTGTTTCCTAATATTAACAGAGTGTATGTTGTGAGCCATGAAGCCCTCCAGCTGCGGACCATATTTAATACCCGGTTAGATTTTAGACCCAGCAGCTGATTCACGTTTTGAGGAAGTTCATGGTCTTCAGTTTTCCAGGCGGTCAATGATCCACCTGGAGGAGTGAATCACTTCTTTCACCTTCAGGCGCCGCCATGCAAACATCATGCCGGATTAGCACAGGATAAAAATTAAACTCTTTCTCAATATCACAAGGAGGGGCGAATATTTTCAGAAACTATAAACTGATTAAAATGTATTGTTGACTGAGTTTTATGGAGAAACTCAAGATGAACGTGTTTCTGCTGAACGGTTTGATTGGTCAATAATCTCCAGAACTCAAATTTTACTGTCAGCATGCAGAGGTGGAGGCCCAGTTTCAAACAGCTTCCTGGTTCCACATCTACTCTCCTCCCTCTGAGATCACATCATATAAAAGCAGAGGTTCCTCTCTTCGTCTCAGTCAGGTCCAGCCAAAGCTTTCAGGTAAACTTCTCCAGGTTTTTGCACCATGAAGACGTCAAATCTGGTCGTCTTCTGTCTGCTTCTGCAGGTATCGTTCACAGTTCTAATCAATGGAGATGCTTTCCTTCTTAGCCAGGGAGTTTCCACTTGGTTTGGATGCATTTTCTTTTACTTAATGAATTCATTCATCAATTAAAATCTGTATTTTTGTAATCAGGTAATCTTTGTTTGCCAATGTGAAATATTTCATCATAATAACAGAACCAATGTGTAAGGGGGTAAACACCTTTTCACTGCACTCTCCATGTCAATGTTGTATTATGTAGATAAGAGTGGACTTAAGAGCAGAGCTTTGAGGATCTCTGCTCAGAGCAGGAATCTGACATAATATTCCCAGTCAGTAGAAAGGCTGTTATTGGCTGGTCCTCAGCTGTTCATCATTTCACTGGATGGCTTTAACAATGTTCCAGAACTCAGCCAGGTGAGTTTTAGACGGACCAGTCCTTCACACAACCTGATCCACTAATCTGAAACCAAACATTCAACATTTTTACCTGAAAACCTGACAGCAAGGTTCTTTGTCAGAGAACCGCTTCAGGTCCAGACAGGTTGAGGGACAGTTGGCTTGTCTACGACTCCTCTTCTATAATTATTATTTTATTAATATTTATTATCTTCAAAGAAAACAATAAAAACGTTTCTTACTTCCTCATTGAGTCAAATATTGCTGCGGTTCAGTCAAGTCTTTATCTCTGTTTTGAATAACTAACACCCAGACTAGTTTCCTTACCGAATGATATCAGAAGAAAGCAAAACAGAAGCTTTAAACTTCTCAGGTTCTTACCAGACATTGTAGTCAGTTTCCCGAAGGAGGACAAATCGGATCTTCTTTAGTATCTTGGCAAAGTGAAGCCCCGTCTGATAACTTGGGCTTTGGTGCATTTGTTTGAACAGGAGATGTCGGAATCTGCTGGAATGTCTCCAGGAAATGTTTCCAACATGTTTGAATTTTAGTTTTGATGGCAGCTCAACCCACTATAGGTGTCAGCTGGACTCAATAGTGACCACTACAAGGAAGTCAGCCGACCTTCAAACACTCCAGAACCTTCAGCAGCACCAACTGACGGGTCTAGCTAACGGATACATTTGGGGCTTCATGTTTACCTTTTCTTTCTAAATTACTAACATCTGAGTATTCTGCTAGTTAAACATCTGTGTGACATTCACTGACTTCTAACACTGATCAAACCAATTCTCTGTGCAGGTGTACCCAACATCTGGAGCAGCAACTACAACAATAACTTTATCAACAACTTCACCAACAACCCCATCCTCCTCCTCACCAACAACCCCATCCACCTCCTCACCAACAACCCCATCCGCCTCCTCACCAACAACCCCATCCTCCTCCTCACCAACAACCCCATCCACCTCCTCACCAACAACCCCATCCTCCTCCTCACCAACAACCCCATCTGCCTCCTCACCAACAACCCCATCCGCCTCCTCACCAACAACCCCCTCCTCCCCCTCACCAC